CGGCTCAAGGCGGCTTCCGCCGCGCGGGCCCCGGAGCGCGCATCCCCCGCCGGCGCGCAGCGGCACTTACACTGTACGGGGCCGGGGAAGGCCGGCGCCACCCCCCCGCCGCCTCCGCCGGGGTTCATGGCGGCAGCCGGCCCCGCACGCCGCCTCCGCCACCTGCAAGGGGCTTATTACCGCCGGGGAGCCGCTCCCCCCGCGCCTCCCGGCCGCCGAGCGGGGGCGGATGCGGAGGAGCCGAGCATGCTCAGTGGCGGCGGCGAGGCTGCGGTTGCCCTCACCGACCGCCGGGCTGAGGGCTGTGAGGGCATATACATCTCCCCCCCCCCCCCCCCCCCCTTCCCTCTTCCAGATCTTTATCTCAGAGTTAAATCTGATGGGGAACAAGGGTGGCCTCTTCTTGCTCATTTCTGCTTCTCCTCAGGGCAGTAGGATACTGATATTTTATTCTTTATTTATACTATATTTTATCTGATACTGGTATTTTAATCCAAGGAGCCGTATAAGTCGCACTTGCGGAGCGACTTACTTCAAATAACAGATTGCTTCAAACCCCCTCCACCCCACACCCAAATGCTTTGAGCCCAAAATTAGGTTTCTGAGATCTTGCTGCATAACTGTTTGTTGGGAGATGCTCTGTTCGATAGGATGCAATTCCAGTTCATCCTCATTAGAGGAATCTGTGGTTCATCCCACTTAGGCTACCAGAGAACTGAGGGTCTCTCTTACTAATTAACAGCACGTGCTTGCTCGTAATAAAGACTGTTTACTCTCGATTAGCATCCTGTTGATGGTAGAAGATGTAAATGAGCAGTTCTTGCCAGTTTGGAACAATATGTTCATGCAGTTAAAAATAAATGTTGATTTTAAAGAAAGTTTAAAAGCCAGATTTTACTGCAGTTTAGGACAAAAAAAAAATATATGTGTTTGTAAAGCTGATTGAAAGTTCATTTCCCAGAAGGGAGCAAGTGTGATGTGCTGTATCTCTGAGTGTCTACACGTTGCACGACTGGCAAGATGTGTTTGGGGAGGTTATGACAACAGAACATTTTATTGCTGCTCAGTTGTGCGGTCAACATCTTTCTCAAGTAGCCCAAAGAAAGAAACTGCACTAGAAGAACTTCAGATGCTGAGAAATGCCCTTCTGATTTATGGAGTAGCCAAGTGTCCTCCACCACCCACGGGAAAAGTCCAGGAGGTGGAATGTCTCGGCGCTAATGAAAATCAGATGTTGTCATACTTGCCTGACCCTGGCTCTCATCTCAGCTGTGTCCGCAGCTCTCCCGTTCCTGTGGGGAAGAGAGAAAATCATTAGGCAGCTGGGAACCTTCCCGGAAGGTGAGTGGATGTTATTTGTACCTCCATTTCCCCATCAGTTC